GGCGCCCTGTGCTTACGGCTCTGGGCTCGTCATGGAGGTCGGTGTTCGGTCAGTTAATTCTGCATCGTTTGCTGACCACGATTAGCAAAGGGAAGAGGGCCACCCTCACGTCCTACGCGTGGGTCGATGAACCAGCCACAGCTTTTATCCAGGTAGCACCAATATCTGCAGGGCTGTGGCAGGGGAAGCGTCGGGGTAAGCGTGCCAACGGCGACCGAAGGTGCGTGGCTTGAGGGATGAGTGGTCACCGTGTGCCTCCTGTTGTCACGCCGCTCGGGCTACGCCTGCGTGTGCCGCCCGTCACCCTCCTTTACTGGGTGGGCCACCGCTGTAAACAGTGCAGTTCTGGGGAAGCTTGAAGTAGCTTTCTGCTACTTCTGCACACTCATTTCTGAATTACCAGTTTCTCTTGACAATAAATATAAGTGAAATTGAAACCGCCTTTCAGATTGCCTGCTTCCAACCGCTGCCCCGACAGCTTTCAAAAAACAAGCTGCTTCTCTGAATGTAAAAGTCCTCACTGAAATACCAAATAACAGGAAAAGAGTAAGTCGGGCATCATCGGAACAGATGAGTGACAGGATTTCATGAGGTATGTCTGTGTATACACAGGCACACGTACTAGGAAAGGCAAAACTATAAAAAAAAAGTTCAGAGTTCCCAGCTACTTTGCACACAACGTGTTTCCTTAAATCACTCGATGAAATTTGCTATCCTCGTTAGGTTGCTATGGCATCTGAGCTCATCCAACAATATTCTTCACAGATTTTTTTATCTGTGGCTTACAAACCACACTGAGCAAATTGAAAATCCCCGGTTACACCGTCCTTTGTATCATTTCCTGTGAGATAAGTCTGAAGAACAAACTTACGCATACGATGTGTCTGTGTGCAGGCAGGCTTGCATGGCCCCTGAAGTGGGCTGACACCTGCCTGACATAGCGCCTGGAGAGTGACAAACATTGCATGGGACATTCCAGGGCTTTTATAAATAAGAGTGGACCAGAAAAACGCTTTAATGCGGAGAGGAGGCTGGGCAGTCTCTTCAGAAAGAAGCCAGCTGCTCAGATAGTCGCTTTGCTGGGCACTGGGCAAATAACTGGGACTGCACCTTCTTCCCTAACGCTGGTGTTTTGTTGTGTCCAAGCTTTCCCTCCCTCGAGCTGATGCCTGTTGGACGCGGCTGGGAAGACGGGAGCGCTGGGTTTAAAGGAACGTAGATGCCTGCTAAGATGGCACTGCCCAGTTCCCTTTCTGGCAAACCGGTACCTCCGCGCTCCAGAACACTTCCCACGGCGGGGCTGGAAGCGCACCAGAGCAAGCTGGATTTTTTCTGCAAGCTGGGCTATGGTAAGCAGGACATCTGCAAAGTGCTGGAGAGCCTGGGCCGAGAGGCCCTGGAGGATGATGTGCTGAAAGAGCTGATTCGGATGGGGAGCAAACCTCAAGCTCTGGAGAGCCAGGCTCAGCCTTCCCCACTTGTACTCGTTGCCCGTGGATCGTGTAGCACCACGCCAGGGTCGAAGTGGCTTGGAGAAGACGAAAGCGATTCTTCCGATTACCTGAGACCCATTGTGATCGACGGCAGCAACGTTGCAATGAGGTAAGCTCTGTTCCCTAATAGGGATCTCTCTCTCTCTTCCTCTGAACCTTTTGAATTTAGAGCTGATGGCTTGAAGTATGTTTTTCCTATTTGTATGGGGTTTTTTGAAGTATGTTTTTCATATTTGATGTATGAACCACCGCTTATTCCTCCTCTTTGGCTGAGGCACAGCTTCCAGGGACCTGCCGTCTCTGTGCCCGTAAATACAGAAGCCAAACGCAATCGCTGGCTCGCTCGGCGTTTTGACCTTTCGTAAGCCGGCGGCCGGCTGACCGCTGCTGCCTACGGCGGTGGGACTCGGCAGCTCGCCCTCCCTTCTCGTGCACCAGTCGTGTTTCCCTGCCTTTTCAAATGGGTACCTGGGATTTCTAAACCTGTATGCTGGGGTGTTTCCAGGAAAAAACGAGGAACAGCTGGACAGAACAGCCCAACTGACCTAAGAAGGAGAGGGAGAATAAGGACGGGTGACTGCGGTTCCTAACAACATCACAGTTTGACTTGCAAGGAAACCCCAACAATGTTCCCGGCTTGTGTGTTTTTGTTGGGTTTTCGGTTTGGCTTCGTTTTTATGGAAATACTAGGGAATTAACAGTTGACTTGTACTGAATAGTCTAATTCTGTTTCTGGGGAACGTCGTAGCAACCCATCGTGGCCAATTCCATTTCCGAAGCAGCGCCCTGACGCTGTGCGAGGATGCTTTCTGCTGGGGAGGCCGGCACGTCCGTGTGGATGGGGAGTCTGAGGACAGCCGTGGGTTGGCCTCTGCTGCCCGAGCAATACGGACAGCCGGAGCCCCGGCACTCGAGGGTCCAGGACGCACCGGCTGCCCCCCGGTTTTCCCTGTTAACTTCCCTGCCCACTCAGCAGGGCCAAGCCTGTCCCCATGGGTTGGGACGGGGCGGAGGAGGGCTTCCCCCTTTGGTTAGCCTTGGCGTGAGGGGAGACCTCATCCCCGCTGGTTAGAGGGCAAAGGGGACAAGCACGTCCAGAGCAATGGGAGACTAAGCAAATTAGGCTGTCTTCTGAATGAAGGGAGAAACTCCATCCGAAAATGAGGGGTTCCTCGGTCAGGGCAGCTCACGAGGAGTGAGAAATACACAACGGAGCCTTGCTGGGCCGTGAGCTCGGTAGCCAGGCGTTAGGATCTCCTGCCCCCGTTTGCATTTTCACCCTGGAGCCTCCCTTAGCGTTGTCCTTGCCTCTCTGCAAAAGAAACGAGCACCCGTTCGGGCAGAGCGGCTCAGCACCCACCCTTTCGTTGTGTTAGGGCAGTCCGACCCCTGCCTGGCACAGCCTGGTCCTCACCAGTTTACCAGGGCTTTTTTTTGAGAGCAGGCAGAGGTGGACAAGGCAAGGTGTTGTCTCAAGCGTTGTTTCCAAGACGGCAGAAGACGCACCCTTGGCACTGAGCAGGAGACCCCGACGAGGTTGGTGGTTAATGAAATAGTGCGTGTTTTGAGCTTGGAGTGCTCTGGGGAAGGTCCGAGCTCATCCCGCTGTGCCAGTGAGCTTGTTAGAGATTACTTGAAACAAACATCATTACAGGTGTGTGCGGCAGATGGCTTGAGCCAGCGTGTCGTATCGCTTTGCTAGGCCACGTGCCCGCCTAAATGGGTTTTCAAGAAGCCCCACGTGCTTCTGGCATGTAAATTTTAAATCTTTTTGTAGAATAATTTCCAAAATGTGAATCTGAGAGATGCTTGCCTGCTAGATTACTGAAGGCTGGTGTTCTGCTGTGGCTTCCTCGTCTTTCACCTGAAAGGTATTAGAGGAATGTGAAGTGCTTTTGAACTTCAGCAAGGCAAAAGTTTTACAGCTCTTCCCAGACGCCCCCAACCTCTGTCCTGATAAAGTTAAAGACTGCTTGGGTGATGGAGCAGACTACTGAGCTTGTCAGGTCAGTCCGTACCGAACCGACGCAGTCTGGAAGGAGCTGCTTTCCTCTCCTGGATGCCTTTCAAAGTGGTGCTGAAGGGCATTTACTTTGGCTGATGGGATGGGCTCGGTGAGTGTTTCGGTGTCCTCATTTTAATTTTTCTGGTTTACTGCTGTTGGACAGAGAAGGGCTGTTTGCAGAAGTCAGGGAAAACAGATGTTGGCTTTCCTTGCCGGGAAAACTTCATCATCACCAGCACCAGCACCCATAAAAGTGCAGAAGAATCAGCAGTTTAGGGATGAAGCTGTCAAAAAGGTGAAGCTTGGAAAGGCAGTTGTCTGTGCGGAGAAAAATATCTCAAGCATTTGTATTTCTATCTTAGGATTGGCGTTTCTGGAGCATTTCAGAGCTGGCATTGAGGGCCCATTGCGGGGTGCGAGGCTTTGAAAAGGATGCGTGTGTCCCAGGGTAATGAAGCAAGTGAGCGAGCTGGCGGTCTCCAAACATCCATCGGCACATCCCTGGGAACTGAATGGAAAAAACCCCTGGCCTTCAGCCTGTCTCACCGGTCAAGCACCTCAGACACTTGCGTTTCCATCAGATGTAACGAGAAACTCGTCCGTCTGCCAGCCTACCCGCGGGAAGCGGGCAGGACAGGTTGGCAAGGCCAGCGGAGAAAAAAGAAGTGTTGATACGAAAAGGGGACTGTCACAACCTTATTCAGTGCACACCGACGAGGCTATCTAGTCTCGTGCTTGCACTTGCCCCTCACGTTTAAGCTCTGCCTAGGCCGGCAGAGTCCTGCGTTAGGCTCTCGGCCTTCCGCGGGTGGTGCTGTCACGACCAGGTGGAGATGGGGCCGTTCGCAGCTTCCAAAAGGAGTTGTTTCGACTAAACTTCTTCTCAAAGGGGTTGGAATCACACAATTTAAAGAGGAGTCATCACATTGCTAATTATGGATTAATTGCTGGAGTCACAGCAAGGCCAAATTGCTGCTTCGGTTTCGGAGGGATGGGCCCTGCTGATCTGTGACCCAACGCAACGGACCCTGTTGCTGGCAGGAGGGAGAGAGATGGGGCTGAATTACGACAGATCAGTTACGGTCCGTGACTACGGGGGTGTGTGGGAAAGGTGACTGACAGGTGCCAATCTGGTGTCCGGCAACACAAATTCAGTTTTAAAGCCCCTGCCCCGTCGCACGGCAGGCGCTGGTGGTCAGTCGTGTGGACGCTGCGGCGCGCCGTGCCTGGACGTCCTGGTTTAGCTCGTCCTGCCCAGGTCTGGCTGTAGCAATGGATTACGGGATAATGCTGAGAAACAATTCCAGGGGCCTCTGCTCACTGGTTCTGCTTGGACTTTTGGCCAAATCACTTGTGCTTGAGTGCTTCACCTTCTGCGCTGGGGGTACCTCTAGAATGACTTCCCCAAAGCTGACAGGTTGTATGTATGAGCAGTCGATGTTAAAGCAGGCTGCTGCTGAACTCTGTTTGACTCATGGCACTAAGGATGTACCCAGGCTTCATTTTAAAGCAGTTATTTGAAAAAGTCACCTGAACTTCCAATTCACCTGTCCAGTTGACTTTATACCAATCCTGGGTAGATCCTATCCTTTAAACCCAAACCAAACAGCTGTTCTACAACGGACGTTAGATGAGTCCAGCACTTCAGGCCATTTATCACTGGTGAGGGCTTTTTAAGACTCCCTATTGCCTGGGTATCTATTAACAAACAACCAAGTTTATTTCTCCAAACCGTGCTATTTTTTGTTTGTGGTCACCATTTCAGCACTGAAACTTTTATTAGGTATAAAATGGAGCTTTGGTTACGAGGCTGATGTAGGCAGAGCCTAGAGATTAATTCCTTGGGGACGGCGGGGAGAGAGGCATTTGAGACCGCAGCATCGTCCTCGACTGGCCCGTCACTGCGGGCAGGTGTAGTAACCACGAGAGTCATTGACCGGTACGTTGTGCAGAGGTGAAAACCGGAGTGCGGCTGTGGTGATATCATCCAGAAAGCTCAAAGTGCAAGGATGAGGTTTCTGCAGATAGTGTGAGGGCGTTTATCCATTTTAGGACTTTGTGTAGAGTTTGTTTTTGTTTCCTTGTGCAGAGGTAATTAACAAATTACCTTCCTTTACACATGCACTGCGCGGTACTCAGGTTTTAGATAAGCAAATGATAAGCAGTGAGAACTTTCAATGGAGGGGGGAGAAACTTAGGAAGGCTATCATCTCTAATTGTTTTTCTTGAGGTTGCTTTCCATGTCTTGCTCTGAATATTGGTCACTTTTCAGACCCCACCTTGCCTGCGTCCTCTACAGCGCCCGTCCTAGGGCTTGCCTACCTCTCTGTGCAACGAAGGCAAAATCCACCAACTAGGGCGAGATAAAGGTGGGCCTGCGGTGCCTGTGGCCATCTCCACTGAGGCCTTGTCCCTTTTTTGGTGTCCTGGGTTAGGTTCTCCATATTTCCCATTCTGCCTCTTACAATTTTCCGTCCCCCATAGTTTGACTCCTGTCTCCAAAGGAGGTCAGCAGCTGAATGACCTGCGGTCACACTTGCAGCCACTTCAGACGTTAAAATCCCTCGTGTCACTGTTGCCACAGAAGAAAATTCCCACGTTTTGTTTCTCACGGGAGAGCCTCGTGGGTTTCTCCTTGTGCTGGAAGAAACTCCCCAAAGCTTTGATGGACAAGGGACGTGAAGGGTCTGACACAGCCTACGGGCTTGCTGGTACTTGAGGACCCAAGTCCATCCCGATGCAGATGGACGCAACAGGCTTGGGCAGCAGGCGGGTCATAGAAATGGGGGATAGGATACCTCTGGTTTTAAGTACCCAGACTGCTTCGGATAACAAGTTTCTGGTTCTGCTGCAGGAGGAGTTTGGATCCGTCCAGCCAGGACACCCTGCCGGGTTGTTTCTTGGAAACTGGTGAATGACACAAAAGCTGTTTGTTTTGCTGTTTCCTTACTGGCTCAGTTAGAGAACTCTAAGCTCCTTGAAAGCTTTGCCTCACCATCCTCCTCCTTTTCTTTTTATAGTCACGGAAACAAAGAGGTATTCTCCTGCTGGGGGATCCAGCTGGCGGTGGATTGGTTTCGAGAGAGGGGGCACACGTACATCAAGGTTTTTGTCCCGCTCTGGCGAAAGGAGCCCCCTCGACAAGACAGTCCCATTGCAGGTAGGTCACTGTCCTGGGCATCATTCGGCACCCACTAGGTGCACTTTGGAGGCAGGGGGTGTGAAGAGCCCAGTACGGTTTTGCCCTGTAAAGACAAGCACAGTACAAGTTGCGTATCTGGTTTCCAGCACTGAAACCAGTCGTTAATTTATTGCCGCACGCTCCTGGCTAGCAGCTAAAACTTACAAGGCTTTGTTAGGCTGCTTTACGAGCAGAAGTCGCTGCCAGCTGAGCGAAAGGAGGAGTTTGTCAGCTCACAACCTGTCTGCAGAGCTGTTAAGGCCGGCCAGGAGCCGACGACGTGGTTGCACACGTTATCCAAAGGCGGCCGTATCCAAAACGTTCACTACTGCCTGACTGCTGCCCCCACGCCGGAGCTGCGGGGCTCCTCTTCCATCAGCTGAAGCCCGCGGAGGGTGGCGAGGTCCCCTTTGTGTGCACATAGATCTGCCAGCTTCGTGCCAGCAGCTGGGGTCTGCCCTTCTGCAGAGCAGG